CGGAACATTCTGCTGTGCGTCTGACCTTTGACGAGGCTAGACCTCCCAGCTTACAATTCTTCATGGGAGGCAAACTCGTGCATTCCAGTTGCAATTTAATGGCGGCCGAAATGCCACTTTTTGAAGCAAACCCATAAACCCGCCCAGTTGGTGCACAAATTTCTCCCACTTTTCAAAGGAAATAATCATTCTTCTGCTACTTTTAATTAATCCCTCCTTGAAGGAAGGTATGAGAAGGAGACCCAACTCTCCTACAACGGTCTGCAAACAGCAAGATTTCCAACTTAATGCGGCCAAATTTTCAATAAGCAACATCTCCTTCGTACCTTCCACCTCGTGGTATCATCGTGATCGCCTTTGCAACGGCTAATTTGATTGCACACCCTCAACTACTGCAACAGAAATGTTAAACCCGGCGGGCTATAAACAAAACCCCAAATATGCACGCGCACGCACGCACACACACACACACACACATGCGTGCATGCACGCACGTAAACACGAGGCCCACACGCAGACGCCCATAGGAGAAAGCATGGTTCGATCGATCGCATAGAGACAGCGCGTACGCACATGCACACGTGCCGCGCCTGTCTGTCCACCACCACTGCGCATGTCTGTGATACGATGTAGGCTATGGGCGTGCACCAATGAGCATGCGTGCAGACGTATATGTGTGTTTGCACATTCTGTGGCTTGGTGATTGTACTAACGACTCACTGCTGCGTTCCTTCCCTCTTTCCCTGCCTGCCCGCTCGCCTGCTAGCCTGGTCGTTTGCTCCTCCGTTCGTCTGTTCACACTGTCGTTCGGCGTCTGTCTCCCCCACCACCAGCCTGCATTGCTCTCTCTCTCTCTCTCTCTCTCTCGCTCTCCACCCCACAGACTTTCCATGCCGTGCTGGATCTAATCGAGTGGATTTACTTCCAATCATCTCCTCCTCCTCCTGATATGCCACTTAGGGGGATTGCTGATCAGCAAGCCTAGAGAGGATCTTAGGTCTTGGTGAGTGAGACCCGCCTCACTCTTTTAATTTAAATTCAGTAAGGCCGCTCTAAGCTATGTATTTCCTGGCCTCTTGATACCCCTCTTGTACTGCGCCTTAAACGATATTAACTCGGACCTCCGATCGTGGAGAAAAAGCACTTAATCTTCTAAGGCCACACGCCAAAAAAGTTTTTCTTGTCTATGGCAAATTTGAAGTGACGGAATTTGCAATAAGAAATGACAATCACCCCGTGACTAATATCTTAACTGAGTGAAATGCGTTTCTTTTCATAAATGCTCCTTCTAAACAGATCGTCGAGGTACATCAATGCTTCCGTGTCCGTTGATTACATCAATTTAGGGAAAAAAAACCTTTCTTACGTATTGAATTGGTCCGGAAAATTTGGGAGGGATGCAATTATCCGCATTTCAGGAAAACGTTCTATAGATTTTATTATTTTAAACTCAACCGGGCCGTTTGTTTCGCATGCTTAAACCCAAGGCACAGACAAACGTACATGTAAACACATCAAAATTTGTACTGGTAATAGAATCGAGGCGTCACATATGCGTGACTCTGGCAGCATGTGTAAATCCGATATGATTTCCTATCCTCCTACTAGTTTTGACACGGATCTGTTAAGCAAGTTACCATGCGAGTTGGGTTGAACTTCCGGTTGCAGTCGGGCGCCGATCAAATGTCAGTCGAGTGTGCAGAGGATGTTTTGCAATCTGATAAAACTCTAATCGACTTCGTTCAGTCAATCTCACTTTGACATTCACTAAGCGGGTTTCGATAGTCCTTCAACAATTGTGGCAAATGTTAGTGATCAGTAGATCGCAAAAATTGTTGGTCATCGACTCCGGATAGCCTACCATTGGGAGTTCAAATAAACCAGTTTGTGTGCAAAAATCCACCCCCATCATGATTCTTTTCACAAATCAATCCCTATCTCCTACCAGCTACTCATCAACAATGAGGGAAGGCTTCAACCCTGAAAGTGATTCTTTTTTTTCAAAGGCACTTTTTAGAAACCAATTTGTTCGGCAATATAGTATAGAGCTAGTGATAAAATGATTTGAGAGTCAGTGTAGATGTATCAAAGCAGTAACATTTGAGAGGAGAACCACACCTCAAATATGCATCTAGCGATACTAAAGAAGGATTAACTCGAATGAGAACGGCGTCTCATCGAAGGAGAGCAAAATCCGCTTTAAGTCAAGCACCCACACACATCGCTGCAGATAGAAATGGTCCGGAGATTGAGCTGGACGCAAATAAATCCCACCCAAACACACACGGATAAGAGAAGATGAATAAAAGATTAATGAAAAGGCAATTCAAATACGCCCACTCATCCCGAGTCCGAAACGGGAGGAGTGATATCAGGCCTACAGCCTTCTTGCCCGTTGATGGGATGGGAAGAAATAAGATTGTCCCATGTGAATTCTAACTTGATGTTGGGTTTTTCTACGCAAATTTGCATATCATTGAAGCAGGATACATACTTACTACCAGTTTACGATGAGTAGATGCACCAAATTGTGACCCAAATATATTGGCCGTATTTAAAACAGGGGTGTAGATTAGGATGTTCTCTCATGTAGTGGATAAATGCAAAATTCTACGTTTCAAGTAAAGTAGAATGGATTGTTTGAAGCTGTCAAGGTCGATACTATCCTGAGACTTCACTGGCGGCATGGACCCCTACACCACTAAACTGACTAGTTGAAGTGCTTTAAGAAAACCTAAAAGGGTTGTAATTGTCCATATGCCAATAAAACATCCTGCATCTGTTTGTTTTAGCCTCAGTCGATCTGTCCGCAGCAGCCGATTTTGTGCGGAGCGTACTTCAAGCACATGTTATGTACTAGTGAGGGGTGGAGCTAGATCAAAAAATCGAGGCGTCGCGTATGCGTAG